CAATCACAAGTTGCATGTATGCATTCAGAGTTTAGAGAAGTTTTTCCCTCTTAAATGGAAATGTTTATATATCAGCTGACATCTCAGTTGACACTGTAATCCTGAGCACAAGGGTTGATCAATAAAAGTTTTATGGCTATGAGATAATTGTGGATGAGACACAAGTGATTCTGGTTGTTTTCTATCTTTGCAAATAATAAATAAGAATATTCCCGTCTTAAAGACATATTTATTAGAATTTTTAAAGCACTTGGTATTACAAATATATCTTTGAGATGCAAGATTGAGAATTTATTGCTGCATGCCTTTCTTCTGTGAACACAAAGCTGTGGTATTATTGTGCAGTAAAATATGCAAGCTCTCTGGATAAGTTTTTTAATAGTTGATATTCCTATTCTCTTTATCAAGTGCCCAGAAAATCTCTTAGCTTTTATATAATTTCACCTTTGCTCCCTTTCCTCAATATACATTTGACTTACCCTGATTAATTTTAATATTGTTAATAACCTTGTTAGTGCCTCAGTGGCCCTGTGCAAGAGAAGAATACAGTGATAGAGTGTCACTAGGGAAGGATCTGTGACTGTGAATCATGGCTCTATCATCTATCAGTTTCTACAGCCAGAAACTGACTCTGGCTTGGCTGGGACCCTTGGGAGGGAGCCAGAGCTCTGCCCCAGCCTTCTTCACTTGTGTGTGGGATAGCAGTAAGCAGGCAGCTCTGCTTTTCTTTCCTATTTGAAGAATGGAGTTAGCAGGATGGCTGATTAGAGAGATTGTTTGGGACTTAGTCTCTTTCAAAGCTGTTTAGGCCATAAGTACTATCTGTTTCTTGATGATTCTTTTTTTAAAGTATTGTCACAACTCTGGAGTGTTGTAAGACCTTTTACCTTAGAACCTTGAAATATCTTTAAAGCATCAGTTAGTTCCAGCATTCCTGTGAGTGAGTTAACAGTTTCCCATGTTTTACAAATTGGTAAATAAGACAATGGAAAATGAAAATAAAAAAGTTATATAAGACCACAGAAACTTGATTTGTACTCCGTCACAGTGATTAAGTCGGATGTATTTTGTGTACCAGACAGTTGTCAATGACTTTCTGAAAATCATAGCAAACTCAGATTAGCAAGTCTTCTGTGTCTTTAGCATATTGATGTTTGTGACTGGCCAGCTTGGAGCCTAATTCTTTGCTGTTATCTATCAATGACTGTGTTTAGTAATGATTGTTTCCTTGAAGAAAGTAAAATTTGGGCAAAGAACTGGGTGTTCTTAATGATGTATTTCTGACACTTATTTCTTTAACTTTTGGCAGGAGTTTAAATGTTTTTGGCCTGGTTTTCCATTATGTACAATAATTTGTCTTCCTTGAGGAGTTAATGATGTTATTTAATATTTCCCCACAGCACTGGAAATGGGATATTTCTAAATCCACTCATAACAAAAAATAAAAAAAAACCCAAAACACATGAGCTGGGCATAAAAATCTAAATGTTTCTCATTTAGAAACATTTCTCATTTCTCAGGAAACTCATTGCCTTTACTTGAGTGCAAGTGCAGTGGGATATCTTGGAAGCTATTCCTTGGATCCTAGTTCTGAAGGACATACACCCTAACGCATTAATAGCCCCATCTGATGTAAGAACATGTTCTTTGGTTAAGGAATGGAAAAGTCAATTGATTAGATTTTTCAAATCAAGAAGTTAAGTGTCATGCCAATTATTTTCCTGTATTTTTGGTAGGTTCTTATGAAATTATACAAATAAAATGTTTATATTTGTGAAGGAATTTGTGTATTCTTACTTCTTTCTTAAGTAGGAATAGAAAGCCACAGAACAACCAAGGGTGTGGAGTGAGTCTGTTTTTTTTAAGGTGACTCTTCCCGCAGCATTCATTTTGTGGGCAGAGGTTTTGCATGTGTCCTTCCACTCTAAAATGCACTAATGTAACTTTTAGGATAGATGGGGTTCACAGGCCGCTTTTCACAAATGTGAGAAGCTCTTTGGATTCTGATTCTTTTTTTCTTGTCTAACGTTTAGAGTTCTGCATCCTCAACACGATCATAGACTGTGGTTAAACAATTTCTATTCATGGACCTGTAGCGATTGCTTAGTGGCAGTTGGATGGCGTTTGACATGGTACTGTGGCAGATCCTAAATTAAGACTCAAGCTTTTCTTTGAATTAAAAATAATAATAATAACAATCCAACCTCACCTGCGTTGTCTGTCTTAAACGTGCGTCTGTCTTTGTTTTTGCAGCTCCATTTTGCCTGAAACTTTATCAGGAGATTTTGCAGTCTTCTAATGGGGCTTTGCTATGGACTTTCCTGAAACCTTTATTACATGGGAAGATACTGTACAATTCAAATATCAACATGATTGACCTGGTAATGGAGAAGGTGAGTATCAAAAGAAACACTATTTCTGTTTATTGATTTTGTCTTTGTACTTAATTTTAAAGGTCCACTTCTTTCAGGGTAGATAGAAGCAATTGGATAATTGCCTTTCAGAAAACTGGATTCACCCTGCCCCCTGAATTCTCACCTTGTTCCCACTTTAAGCTTAATATTTCTATTAACTTTTATCCTACTTGTTACAGTGGTTTCACCTCAGTGCAAAAAGCAGAATTTTGTTCAAAAAGTCCCTTAAACCTTGTATAGAAAGATTAAAAAGAATACATTAGCAGATGTGTGGTGTGAATCATGCTGTATCAAGGTGTAGAATATACATATTCCAAGTGAGCTTTTGCCCTCAACATTTTCTTATGATGGGAAATCTAATGGGGCAGCACAGGGAGCTGTGTGGAAGGGATACCTCAGGAATGAAAGCCTGTTCTGAGGGAGTCACTGAGCTGCATTTAAAAAAAAAAACAAAACAAAACCAACCTATAGTGCATCCTTCCTGATTATGTTTCTAACACCAGTAGTATGAATGACCAGTAGCAGCTGAGCAGCCATATGTGTGGATGCTGATGACTTGATATTATTCAACAATTTTACTGTCTGCAGTTTTGGTATGGTAGGTGCTCTATCTCGAGCATGATTATCTACAATGACATATTTGTTCATGACTAGCTTTGAGGCACTTCTGTAAGAGGAGGGATGATGACTTATTTTAAGTACACATCAGAGTTCTGTGCAAATTTTGCATTTATCTTGCAAATATATGATTTTTACCCTGGTATATTACTTATTGCAAGAATGGTAATTTAGGTTAATTTAAAATTAGAAAAAAGCATTGCTGCTTGTAAGTAGTACACAAAAAGACTGTAGTAACTTTAAATGTGATGGTAACTATTTTCCATGTAAATGGAGTACAGTGTGGTATTCTGACTTATGCTCTAAAAAGATAATAAAAAAAACTAAGCCAAAAAGCACATACTAGATAGCAGATACTAGGTAACTTTATAGTTTCTGCTGTGATCAGAAATAAGGTTTCAGTGATTTCATATTTTGCAGTTAAATAACTTAATTTGCACAACAGGCCATCTCTCTGGAGCTGAGTATAATTATTTTAAAATTTTTAGTCAGCTAGAAATGAAGCTGCTCTTGATGTTCATAGATGGAAATTCTATAAAGAATGAGTTGTAAGAAATGATAAAAATTCCAAATCGTTTTGAATACATAATTATATTCTATGTTATGATGACATTTAGAATAATGCATTTAAGATATTTCCACATTATTTTGCCAATTAATATGCCAAAACCACATTCTTTAAAGCATCTGTAAGAAAGAGACATCTCCTGACATACATTGTGTTCCCCTATAGATCTTATAGTGAAATCAAGACTGAGTAATACAGTTCAGAATGAAGTTTGCTTGTGGTTTGAGGTTTTTTTTTATGCTCTTGAACAATACAAAGATGCCTCTAGCACAATGTCTCATTCTCATTATGTATTCTCAGGCTCACAAAAGTTCCATCAGCTTATTCAGGAATCTGTGTAAATACACCCCCACCTTTCCCCCAAACCTGTAGATCTAACAAGCAATTATGGATGTGTATCTGTTTATGTGTAAATATGAAGTAGTAGGAAAGTTTCTTCAACAATTTTTTCATTTGTTTTATTACAGAAGCCTATCGGCTATTGCTTGAACAGAAACAAAATTTAAATGCAAAATATTGTCCCAGCTATCTCAAACACAGCTGCTAAAAACTGACCCTGTAGCCCTTACACAGCCAAATCTACTGAAATTGGAACAGAAGTTCTAATTTCCTTTAGACTATGTGACCACGTGGCAGCTATTTGCTAGAAGAAAAAAAGTAGAGGTTTAAAACTAAAAAGAACATTGATGTTTGTATACTAAGATATATTCTGTAAGTTTTTCACATGGACTATTTTGTTTCAAGACTGTATAGTTGACCATTGTTTGATAAATTGTGAGGTTGCTGGTTTTACCTTCTGAGAATTGAACAGTTCTAATGTGTAGAATAACAGCGACCACCACAGATACAGGCTGTAGTGTTGACTGAGAGCAAAAAAGTTCGGTGACAACTGGCATCCAGGAGTTCAAAGACCACATGTGACGTCTTTGATCCTTGCTTTTGCAACTGAATTTTCTGCCACTGATGAGCTGATCTTATGAAAGTATTTCTTATTTCAAAAGATTCTCAGAGTTGATCTTATATTCAGGCAATCACAACTTTGTGCTATTTCTTTGTAGATGGAAGAGTCAGTATATATATATATATATAAATATAAATGTAGCAAGATGATTGAGAAATGAAAGAAAGAAAACTAGTCTAGCAAATTCATTAATTTCAGTTTCCTGCCTTTTTGTCTAGTATAATTAGAAAAAATAATAATGAGTTGAGTTAGTTCTTATTCTAAACTTATATATCCTGTCTGGCTTTGCATAAGCACACTTGACTTGTTAGCCTGTTATAAGATGTCATTATAAAAGCAGTTCAATAAGCTCAAAATACCATTCTTATTTATTCTTACATCAGGAAGAGGCTTAGACATATTCAATCCAGACAGCGCTGTAGTTGATATTGAAGACTCTAATTTTAATCAAAGGCAATATCCAGCCTAGGTGTAACAAAGAATATTTATTTTAATGGATCTTCATTGATTAGGAAGAAGAGAACTTGAAGAGAATTTCTATTAAACATCAAAGTCCAGCTAGTCATTAGCATACAAACTCACAGGAGCTGCTTTACCATATAAGATTAAGCATTCATCTTGCCCTAGGTTCTGATTCCTACTGTAATCTGTAAAGGTGTAGAGGGAAGAACTGAAGAACATGTCAGTAAAGTGGTATTCCCACCAAATACTGTCCCAACTTCCAAAAACTTAAGGTTCAGGCTTGTCAGGACTTTACTGCTATAATTTGTCCATTTGCTTTTTGAGCTTATATAAACTCTTAGTATTCATAGTCTCTGTAGTGAGATGTTCTGTATCAACAACTTCTTCCTCACTTTCTTGTTCTTCAACTGAGGCAACTTCTTTTTTAAAATCCTGCATTTATATCTCCCAATTATATTTATTTCTATTCTCTATTTCCACTATTACTCCTTATTGTAATTTATTATTATTACTATTATTATAGCAAAATTAAAATTTGCTTAGTACAGATTTCAGAATTATTAGTCTGTAGTCCCCTGGTTCCCCTAGCATCTTTTTTTATGAATAGCATTGCATTTGTTATTTTCCAGTTCCCCAATAACTAGGGAATTTTAATCAGGAGGTTACACTACAGTGAGTACTTCAACTATTTAACCCTTAAATGCTCTTAGAATTCTTGTCTGGATGTTATCTTGTCCTGGAAACTACTTATTGTTCATTTTGTCAAATTGTGTGACTTTTTCTTTTTTTTACTACTGCTTCAATTTGAGACAGATTATCTAAAGTGTTCTCCACGTAGAAGGCTTCTGACACAGGAACTTCCCAGAGGCCTAGTGTGGTGAATGAGAAAGTAAAAAAAAATTAAACAAAAACCTTTTTTTCCTAGTCTGTCTTGTTTTCTTATTTGGATGTAACTTCAATTTTTTAAAAGGATGTTTTCTAATAACTTCCTGCTGTGTAGTGTGTGTGTGTGCATGCATATGGTCTTTATCAAGTCTTTATCAAATCTTTTTTTGATAGGCAATATGTATTTCTTCAGTTTCCTCTATGCTTCCTTAAATAGTCTGTGTACCTCCTGCACACAACTTATCTCTTTGCTGCTTTTAATTTCTTTCAAATAAGCTTCTACATTATATAAAGTTCATCTTTTCCAAAAATCCATGCTGCTGCAGTAATTTTTTTTTATTGTTTGTATAAGGAGGTTGAATACAAGCATGTTATAGTTACTGTAGCTCTTTGAAAGTGACTTCAGGAAACAAAAAAAAAATCTTTTGCACTGTTCAGAATCAAGTCAAGAAGCACAAGAGCTCAGTAGAGCTCAGATCTTACAAGCCACTTGATATAACAATTTCTAATGATGTCTGAAAATTTGATCTCCTTGTGTTCCAGTGTGACCTGTGCTTGCTCTGTAGCAGGGAAATACCAATCTCCCATTTTGGCTGTTTGCTACCCTTGCAGCCTTTCTGGTCTCCCTCAGCTTGTCACCATCACGCCTGGACAGCGGGTTACATGATCCTAATATTCAGGCCTGGGATTTCAGTCCATGAGGTTTCTGTGTTGCTCGTTAGCAGAAGAACTTGTTTAGCTGATTTGACACCAAACTTTAGTTTGACATTTAAGATCACTCTCCCTTTGAAAGTGGAATGGGGAATCTCATAGAGGTTAAATGCATAAATTCTTTCAGGAAAATGAAATTAGCTGTAAGAGTCTCTTTGGGGCCTTCTGTGCTACAAACGGGAAGAAAGAACAACCACAAATTGTTTTCCCATGTTGTGATAGGAGTGGGATTTTGCAAAAGGCACTTAAAATACTATGGCAAAAATTGTGTACTTTCAATAGGAATTATTGCAAAAAATGTGGTCCCAAATTAGAGTTTACAACTCATTGCAAACACTCTGCTGGGAAATGTCATGATCTCTACCATAATAACAATGCTGGATTGTTCTTAAATGTACTTCTGTGACTGATAACACCAATTGAAACAAAAAGATACTGCTATATTTTCTAATCTTGAGTACACTTGTGATCTGTTTAAAACAGGCTGGAAAAAATTGATGGTTGTTTGCTAGTGGCTGAGAGAGAAATTGTAGCTTATGTTTGATTGGGACAGAGAATATTTTGCTATACTCAAGTCTTCCTCTGTGAGAGTATTTTGAAATAGATTGATTGGTCAGTTTAATTTATTGTCCAGACCATGCTTCCAAATTTCACTTTTATTATATATTCAGTCAAAGAAGTTTGAATAAAAGACCCACAAAGTCTGCAAAGGCTTTCTTTTGAATATGTCCTAGCTGTATATTTTTTTCTGTCTTTCTGAAGCACCTCTATGATACTCTGTATGAAAGAGATATAAAATAAAGAGGTATTTATGATACTTCAGGTAGGAAACATACACGCTGCAGGAAGACTTTTCTTTGATTTGCTTGGTATTCAGAGACTGCAACAAATACTTTTCATTTCTTAAGTAGAAGAAAGAAAACGTGGATATCCTTACTGCTGACTATCAAAGTGAAATGGAAAGGAGTTGCAGAAGATCTGAAGCATGCCATTTTTTCCTGTTTCTTAAGATTTGCTATGCACAGTTTTTACTTAATTTGTCTTCATGTATTCTTTTTCCCAGGCTAATTTCACTTTTGGTTTTGTGGAAAACTTGAAGACTTATTCTGAGTCATGGCTTAGGATGTCTGAGGTTTTTAAAACCAGTGGAAATGTCCTCACGGTCTCAAGACTGCAGGTTGGTGAACTGTGGGAGGGCTTCCTATTTTCCAATTATTTGCTATGTGATCTAGACAGAATTTCTATACATGTAAAACTGCCCATCTGTCTGGCTTCAGATTTAAAAAGAGCTGAAAAAAAGGCGGATTAGCTTTAGGTTATGAGCCTACGGTGTGATACTGAGAAACTTCTGAGGTGAAAATACTTAAAAGCAATGTTACCTCTCTATGTCCAGTATTACCAGGCAGCAGGGGAAATAAAACAAGTAGGTACACCTACAAGCTTTATACACTTATTTAAAACAAACGTAAGATTGTAGGAAATAAAATATTTTCTGGAACTTGCTTGTTTATTACTTTTTCCAACAATGTGTGCAACTGATAAAAAAAACTGATGTAGGAAATATTGACTAAAAAAAAAAAGACCATTGTTGTTACTGGGATTTTTTCCATTCTACATATGTGTCCTTTTTTTTCCCCAATAAAATTTAATTTTGCCATGTTTGACTTGTGAAAACATGCATGGCTGTTACACTTCGGAAAAATAAGCAGACTCCTGTCATGGCCCATACATATCAATTGAACTGTTACTTTCAAGTTCAATTAAGGAATGATGCTAGTAATAATGCACTAGACTTGCAGATCCCAGGATGCTTTTGTAGAGCTAATAATTTTCCCCCCCCCTAGAACTTGGCAAATGAGGAAAAGAAGTTAAAATAATGTAAAAGGAATTCCCAAATGCCAGGTTTTTAAAGATTTTATTTTACTACTGCCAGTGCTAATAGTATAGTGGCCCAAAAGTCTTGCAGAAAAAGAAAATGGAGTTCTGTCCCAGCAGACTTGCAAGGACATTAGAATGGACTCACAGTTAAAATATTTGCAGTAAAAGAGGACAGTGATGGACAGCAGTGGGGAGTGAGTATATGTTCTGCTGTTTATCTGAAATGTGTGGAGTCAACCTGTTAAGAGGGGAAGACTGAAGACATGGAGAGGCTAAGTGACCTCCAGTGTTGTGCAGGAAATCTTGGTAATGGAATTGAACATGAATACATATGTATATTTTATATTTCTTTAGAGAAGATAAACCTGATGTAACATCTAACATTTTCATTTTAGGAAGCACTGCAAAGCAATTTCATAAAGCACTTTATAGAAAGTAATTTGGATATTGACATGGAAAAACTCTTTAAAAAAATGCAAGTATATGGTATGTACATAAAAATGCATGTACTGATTACCCTTATTGGACTTTAACTTGAACTTAGAACTACATTCAGTTGAAATTGAATGTTTTACTTACTTAAATACTAAAGTACCAGACTTTAAATTCTTGTTGAGTTAGTCTCAAATATTTCTAATCGTCTTTTTTCTTCTGAGTGACTGGATAATTTGCATTTCAAAATATTGAAAGACTTGAAAAATGTGGTAACAAATTAGACGTGGCAAACTGTCATGGGGGTGTTATAAACATAAGAGCTATACTTAAAAGGAGGGAAAGGAGAAGTAATCCCGACAGCCACAGTTCCATTAAGTAGTAGTAAATCTTTGTAGTAAATTTTGAAGGAAATTTATATACTTTAAATGGAAATAAAAATTATATTGGATACAATGTGTTTTATCAAAAGCTGTCTGTATTTTTTTCTCCTTTTATTGAGAATTAGTTGCGTCTGGTCTCCTTGAGCCTCGGAAAAGCGTGAGATATGGTTATAATCAGGGAGCAGCAAGGTTGGGCTCAGGTCAGTAGAGAGTAATCAGGGTCAGACCCAGCCCTGGGATGGCGAGGCAGGGCCACGGGGGTGAAGCTGAGGCCAGGCCATGATGTCACCCCATGGGTAGACGTCTGGGCCCAGATCAGCAGGTCCATGGCCAGGTCCATATCCAGGCTGTGATGTGGTGGGAGCTGCAGCCTGGGGCAGGCCCAGCCGCAGCTCTGATGGGAAAGGGGTGGCCCTGGTGCAGGTGTCTGCATGGGGCTGCCCAGCAGTGTCCCCCTGGGTCACAGCCATCCTTGGCTACACCCTTTCTGCATTGGTACTGAGCCCTGGCAGCCAGACCTCCAGGACTAGTGAGTATGCCCTCCAGGGCCAGATGAATATCCCAAGGGGAACAGTTTATAATGGAAGAGATGGGGATGACTATGAGTAATTTTGGGTATACAGGGATTTAAGGAGGAGAAGAGAAAGAATTGTGCTGGAAATTCAAGTTACTTAAAGATTTTATAAGAATTTGATAATTGAAAAAAATTCAGTATGTCCCACTGTCAGTAGTGTAGATGCATGATAATTAAAATGGTTGCTGACATGTGCCAGAAGGAACTGTCCATACCAAAGCAGAGTCTAATGTCATTTAAGAAAAATTCGTGATTTTGAGGACCAGAAAGAGAGAAAGCTGGGATAAAATGCAATAACAGATAGCATGACATCATGTACAAAGGAAGCTGCGTGCTTCCTAGAGGAGGATAGTGGTAGAGAGGACAGATCTGTGTAGGCTGTTACCAGTGAGTGTTAGGATAATTGTAAGCCAGACACAAATCTGTTCCAGTCATTTGTTGGAGGAGGGCAGTGATGAGCTCTCAGATGTCCCCATGAAAGGTCTGTGTGGTCCTCATTGCTGGAAAAAATTGACTTTACAGCAATACAGGTTAAGTCTACTCTACAGTAAAAGAATTAAGTCTAGAGCTAAAATAAACAAATAAATGTACCTAAAGTGCAACTTTTGTTGGATTTTGGTACTCGCCTCTAAGCAGGAGGTGGACAAAATCCACTGAAGCTCCTGAGAGCTTGTAAATGATGAGTGTGTTCTCAGTCTTAAATTGTACTACTGCCCTGAGCTGGTGCTGTCATGGTTGGCGTGAGCTGAAATTCTTGGCTTTTCTTTTGCACACAGGATATGAGATTTAATTAAAACTGGCCTTGATTTGAAGGTTGTATTTGAAGGCTAGGACTAGCTGTGCACACTTTCACTAAGAAAAATGGTGTCCAGAATTCAATCCAGAAAGTAGGAATCTGGGCTCAGTATCTTTCTTAGGCGGGGGACTCAGACTTGAATCCACTATCTCTCAGGAAGATTTTCTTAACCACTGAGCTGTTGCCTAGTCTGGGTCAGGCACAGCTCACCCCTCATGGTGAAGCTGGATCACAATACAACTAAAATAACCCCACAGAATCACTCAATCGGAAAGATAGGAGGGAGGAAAGAGCAAGTCTCTTAACCCGCAAGGCCTGCTGGAAACATAGCTGTCTCAATATATTAGTTGAGTAATAGACAGATTTTGTTTGTTTGGATCTAACACTGGCAACTACATGATAGGTTATGGGCAAACAATATTTCATTAAGTCGATATCAAGATCTCTGGAGTTATCAGGTCTGTCTTCACTGTTGTAGACATCATCACAGAAATCTGTGCATGTGTTTCTCAAGTTTTAGCTTTTTAACAGAGCTAAGGACATCTAACAACACGTAATAAATGTTTAATAGTCTTGGATGGTGAATACATGAAATCATTTAAGTAGAATGGCTTATGAAACTAGAATTTCTTTATTTTAATGGAATACAGTCAATAAAATTAACATCATATAAAAAGTGAAAATCAATATGGGCTATAGATCAAAATAGCATTTATGCCTTTGTGAAGCTGATCTGTCCAAAATGCCAGAGCACTCTTCTGCATTTACACTTTGATTACAATTCTTTTTACAGATTCGCTTTGTCATTTTGCTTTTTGAAAAATGACTATGCCCTCTTATTTTTATGTTGGTTTTGTACGTGGTTTTTTGTTCATTTTATTAGTCTATTATCATGTGCAGCTGTTACTGTAAACCTCTGTTCTTATAGGTTTTTTTAAATTTCATTACTTTTATACTGCATCAGATTTTTAGTCCTGTAATTATCTTGCTTGGATCCAATTAAAGTCTTAAATGTATCCATATATGTTATTGGTTTTACCACTCACAATCTGTTTATTTCCATCCAAAGCTCAAGTTTTCTGAAATCACCTAATCTGTGGGATTATGTATTGTCTTCTAACTAAAGCAAATATTCCCTTGGTTTATTACATCTACACTTGCATTAAGTTGACTTCTTATTATGCTCAAATCTAAGGTGCTTGTGTTTGCATCTTTTTTCCCTTCTCTACGATGCTATAAAAATGGTGAACAGTCTTAGTGACATGTTGTTCACCCTGTTACTTCTGCTGGAAAGTGTCGTGGGCACCGAGTGGATTGATGTAGAACTCTTCCAACCTCTCTATAAAATTATCATGCTATAAGACCTTGCAAAGTTACCAATTTCTAAAACTGTTTTACAGGGTTACTGTGTCAGTTTTACTCATGTGGAACAAAGTAAATATTAACTGAGGACAGAGAAGTTTGTGGTTTTCTTTTTAAACCCTTCTTTACTTTCTAAACCAGCTTTGTGTTCACAAGGCAACTGTATTCCTCTATGCTTGCTTTCCAACCCAGCAATTTGCAATAATTTCCTGGGTGTAGTCTATTTTACATAAACCCTGTCCTACTAGAGCTTGTGAGCTCCTTGCTGGGCACAGTCCTTACAAACCTCTCAGGAGGCACTGGGAAGCAGTTGTCCTGCAGGCTCTTTTAGATTCTTGCTTTCTGAGTCTCTCTCGTCCTTCTTCTGTGATTTCTCCCAGATGTGAAGTGTTTTTTCACTACCAAGGAATCTCCCTTATGGAGGGCTACATGTGACCTGAGATGTAACAGCCAGAGTAAAAACAAACCAGGTGGCTTTCCTCCATGCTACCCATCTACTGCCCTCATTGTAATGAAATAGTTTAATGCACATATAGAAAGCTGGAAACAAATAGCTCTAACATCGTCACTGAAAACTGTGCCACCACCAAAATCACTAGATAACTAGAAACTTTCTCCTAATTTCTGAATTAGAAATCTAATTTCTAAATGCATTAATTGCTGATTTATTCCAATTTATTCTTCTTGCAACCTTTTACTTAAATAGGACTTCTATCTAGTAGATTTACATAAACCAGTTAGATTTCCTCCCAGTTACTTAATGATAGGTTAAACAAGCTAAGTGGAACATGAGGGCTGAGTTGGTATGTAACAAAGTATGAAGATAATAGTGAAAACAGATTTGCCGAGTTTTTTATTCATAATTGCTACACTTATAAATGGGAAAAATACAAGATAGGCAATTCTATAGATCTTAATTCTAAAACTTTCCTGTGGATTGTATCTGTTCATATATATGTGTTATTTCTACATTAGAGTACAGAACTTCATGCACATTGTGAAAGACAATATTTTGCTTCAGAAACATTTAAGTATGCCATACTCTAAGCAAGCAGCAAGCTAGTTGGTATTTCTTATGCTAAAACATTCAATAGTTTCATTCATAAGAGAGAAGTTTTTTTAGTTAATTATTGATTTCAAATTGAGGTCTTTCAAAGATCAGCTGGTTAAGAGATCTGTAGTGATTTGTGTGTGTGTGTGTATATATATATATATAGGGCTATATATAATTACACACACACACACAGATATATATAAAAATATATATATGAAAACTTAACCCTACTACTTGGGCTTTATGTTAGGAATATTCTGTTCTCTCTAATGCCACAAAACAAGTAGCAGCATAGGTATTTTATATGTGTTATTTCTACATTAGAGTACAGAACTTCATGCACATTGTGAAAGACAATATTTTGCTTCAGAAACATTTAAGTATGCCATACTCTAAGCAAGCAGCAAGCTAGTTGGTATTTCTTATGCTAAAACATTCAATAGTTTCATTCATAAGAGAGAAGTTTTTTTAGTTAATTATTGATTTCAAATTGAGGTCTTTCAAAGATCAGCTGGTTAAGAGATCTGTAGTGATTTGTGTGTGTGTGTGTGTGTATATATATATAGGGCTATATATAATTACACACACACACACAGATATATATAAAAATATATATATATATGAAAACTTAACCCTACTACTTGGGCTTTATGTTAGGAATATTCTGTTCTCTCTAATGCCACAAAACAAGTAGCAGCATAGGTATTTCCTTTGCTGTCCTCCTCAAGGATAGCAGTAAATAAGACATATAGTATCTATATTTGACGCTGTTTTCTCTCAACCCATGAACTGACCCTGTCATTGCTTGCCTGTCTTCTGAGTTCTAGACTATCAGTTCCTCTACTTTTTCTCCTTGTGATCTTTATCCTTTCTCACTGGTAACCATGTCTCTTCTCCAGACTACTCCATACGTTTTTCCACTTATCTGCCTTCCTATTGTAATATTTCCTGTGCTGATGCTGAATAACATCTATGATCCAGGGTTTGTCTGTCACCACTGTTATCAAATGAGGTCATCACCTATCCTTTTTAAAGCCTATATCTTCAAATGAGTCTTGAAAAATTTAAGATGGAAACTTGTGTTGGATGTTTTATAACATTGTTTATTACCTGACAAATTCAGATGTTTCCATTAAATCCAGATGAGTTAAGATTGTTTCTAGATCATGCTATCCTTCTGGTTATTCTCTCAAACATAAGGATATAGCACTATCTCTACATTCTCTACCAACGGATGAAGATCTGAATTCCTCCAAAGGTTCAGTGTTTTCAGAAACCAGGCTTTGGTTGAGGTATACATTAATCCTGGATTCATAGACAAGATCAAAGTCAAAATGAAGGGGTTGTAGGCTTTTTTCAGATGCTTTTTAAATGTAGGGCTTGAGTTAAAATGCTTATGCCCTATATAACAAGGTGTTTGAAATATTTGCAGTGTCAAGGAGAGAAGAACTGGCCAATACATTACCAGATGAAAGGGATGAATCTCTGTTGTGATGTTCGAAGTACAATAACTCGCTTGTATTTGTGGTAGTAGTTATGGAAAGATAAGGAAATGTTAAAAGTCCTACAGCTTCAAGGACACGGTCTCTTTCTAGAACTTTGCTAGAATTTGTTACATATTTGTTGCTCTGAAATTGAAGGAAAACATAGCTAAGGACTTGTAAAAGCCACTGAAACATGAACTACACTTCCACAAGTTCACACTAAAATTCCTATATTTTTAAAACTTCTTCCTTTTTTTAAATACAAAGGGTATTTACTTTTATAGGATGTGCAAGTGAGAACGTACCTCTCTGTTCTGTTCATTAAACTAAGGAAGTCCAATTTGTTTCCTCATCTTAGAAACTATGATGAACAAGATGCTTAACAGCTCAGCAAGTAAACAGATTGACCTGTTGCCACAGCTTGTAGTAAATATCTCTTCCTGTGTGTTACTGGACCGTTTCCAGCCTTTTGACTCTGTTGAGAAATTGGAGGAGAAGGCTCATGAACTCATGCAGCAAAATAATTTTTTGGCTAGTAAGTACCTTATTTAAAATGTATATTGATAGAAAACATCAGACTTTGTAGTTCTTGTCTGCGCTTGTTGATAAGGTAGGTTAAGCTTACACAGTTTCAAAGTATGTATTAAAACACATATAATACAGGCAAAATAAAGCACGTTTACCTTAGAGGTATTCCCCAACATTTGAATGCTGCAATATATGCTGTAAAGACTAATTATATTGTTGTTTTAAGTATGGAACTGCCAAATGAATCCTTGGAGCCTGTTATTTCTAACAAAATATTGAAAAGAATAGTCATAAATATTTAAAGTAGAATAAAAAGAGCTGAAAAATATATAGTACTGAGGAAACTTGACTACTTATTATGAGAAGATCATCTAGTTAACATCCTTTCAAATTTTAATTTTTATATCCTTGGCTTTGCAAAAAGGAGGAAAGAAAGGGTTTTTTTGGTAAGTTTTATTCTTAAACCAGCACCTCAGAGAAATTAACTTGTTTATTCAGAGTAAATAAATTTTTAAGCAACAGATATATTTCTTTTCTTCCCTGGGATTACACTCTCTATCCTTTTCCTACATTATATCCTTATTGCTGAGAATCAATAAATTGTACAAAAGCGTTTAAAAGACAAGAATGTTTTTCTTATTACATACACTTTTTCTTCTCGCATAAAATGCTTTAAGTTGCATTTAGCCTTTCCAAAAGAGAGCCCTATTTAAGTCTATATAAAGTGTGCCACAATTTTTTCCCCTGTTGTTTTGTTTTTTATTGTCTCTCTGGACTCCTATAAGTCCACAACAGAAGACATGTCAAAGCAGGTCTAGAGAATGAAACTACTCAGTCTGGAATCCTACGTTTGTTCTGTAACCCGCACAGTACCCCCATTTGCAGAATGTGGAAATGACCACCCTCCATCAATATAAAACCAACAGCCATAGATACCATGAGATAAGGAAAATTTCTCAGGAGTATTTCGTAGGGAGTGAAATTGTTTGCCCCTTCAAGGGAAGAAACAGACAGATAGATCTTGGTCCCCAGGAAATTGAATAGTCAAGTTCTAGATCAATTTTGCTTCCACTTACATAAGGAAAAGTCATAAGCTAACATAAGCCAAAGCATTTATTGGGAGTTTTTTCAGTACTGTGGCCTTATAATCTCTTCACATGCCTAAAGAGGGAAGATGGCATTTTAAGGGACCTAATGTGTCCAACATGTCAATATCACATGCTCAGATATAGGCATACATTCCTTTCCATAGTAAGATGAAATTGAAGTGGAATTTTTCTTGCTTTCTTTGTAGTCTTCAAAGCCTTCATAGCCTTCAAAGCCTTCATAGCCTCATGAAAGGTCTTAGGAAATTAAACGTTTGCATAAATGGGAAAATGAGATTGGCCAGTTGAAAAAATAAGCTTTACAGCAAAGTATTCTATATCATATTATCTTTCAGAGAGCCAGGTGGCAGGTAAGACATCTCTCCCCTTTCCTAAGGAAAAAAGGTCAACATTTCACATTCACCAAGAAGTCCTAAAAAGTCTGGACCATCCAGAAAGAAAATACAACCAATTTGCTGCATTTGACTTCACCTTTCCAGCTACAGATTAAGCTTTCATCTGGTGTTTTTTTTTTTTAATACAGAGCTAGAGAAAATAAATATGCAAATTCTGGTGTGCTAAAACAGAAGTTTTGTAATTGACTCAGAAATTAAGAATCAGAGTAAATTTTAGTGGCTTAGTACTGTTTACTTTGTCACACACTTCCAGGGGTTGTTATCCTTTGATGGACAAATTTCATGGCTACTGCTTTCACTGTGGAATTGAGATCAGTCCCCAAAAAGGAGTTAAATCTGGAGACAAAAAGAATAAACCGTAATTCAAAATAACAAATCACAGAAGGAATTTTCTCAGATAAAAATGATTGTTGCAAACCCATTTATCATGTGAATAATTTTTTACATTTCATATTCATAAATGTAAAAAATGTAAGTCTCTACGAAACCTACCATTCTTGTTTTGGGGGGTCAAGAAACTTTAGAGGCCTGCCCTGACAGGTAAGTGCATCCTACTATCATACGATAACTGGCCATGAGTTAGCTATGTAAATAGCATAAATCATATAAGCTTGGGTATGAAGCTCCTTTTCTTCTTGTGTCAGGTATCATCTTCAATACACCAAAGAACAAGACACAAGACTCTAGCAATCTCCTTCCACGACACATTTCATATACAATTAGAACCAGTGTTCTCTATAGCATGAGAACGGATTTGATTAAAAACCCAGCGTGGAAATCCCATCCCCAGAAGTTGCCAGCTCATGGGTTTAAATACAACCACATCTTTATTCCTCTTCAAGACATGATTGAAAGGGCAATTATTTCAGCACAGACTGGGACAGATACCTCAGACCCAGCCATTCAGGTGCAAGCCATGCCTTACCCTTGTCACACCAGTGATCTGTAAGTAAACTTTCAGCTTTTTAATTCAATATGTTATCCTTATTAGATTAGTGCTAGAGGACTTGGGAAGCTACTAGGTCATTGTACTGATTGAATGTATATCTCAGCACAGGATTGAACCAGTATGTCCAATACCAGAATACTGCAGCATAGCAAATGTTGTTTAACAGCTGTCACCACAACACATTATGTAACTTCTGTCTGGCAAATGGCCCCTTACAAGCTGTTTGCAGGTGTACTGTGGAGTAGTCTGCTGGACAGAGTCTGTGTCAACATATTGTGCAACTAACTTAGATTATGCTAAGAAACCCACCTTCCATCCTTAGTTGTCCTGTAGACAAACTGTAAATTGGTCCCTGGTACGTGTTGAAATACAGTGTAAAGTTGATAAAGCAAAAGAAAAGTATAGGATTGTCCTTTGTAAAACCATCAAAGCATCCTGACTATTAGAATTTAAAATTAGTCAGTGGTAATAAATCTGTTAAAGTGGAGCAAAAGTTGACTGGCTCATGTTATTCCTTACTGTCCAATTATATTACTTTGCCATAGACACAAATCTGAATTCTGTTTGACTTTGAATGGAGCCCTAAAGAGTGATTACATCAGTTGTATTGCTGACAAATACTAACATAATATTATAGTACCAATACATATATTTAGCTTGTTACATGAAAAATAAGCAATTCTAACAAGAACAAGAATAAGTCATTGCTCATGTCAGATCTTATTTTGTGCATACTTTGAGAATGGTCCCAGTATTAACCTATTGACATTCTGCTAAAAAATATTTTACCTTTGGGGCCTAACAACTCTGTATATATTTTCTTTCCTAGATTCTTGAACAACATAGGGTTTTTTTTCCCACTTATGATGATGTTAACATGGACGGTTTCTGTTGCTGGCATGGTTCGCAAGATGGTTTATGAAAGAGAAATTCATCTTGAAGAGGTAAGAGGCAGATTAGCCTCTGAAAATAAAATTTATTTATTAAAATGTACCAAAATACAAACCTTAAATTTTGAGGTACTTTTATGTACTCATAATCCAGCTGGCTTTGTTTTCATTTGTTTCCTCTGGGCAGTAGGTTCTAGTTATAGCTGCCAACTCAGATTCACAATGTTGTTTGAGCATCAGTCCTCTTAGTATGTAAATGTTGTCCCTGAGACAAAAAGCAACAAGCAAAAGATCCATAAAAGTTGAAGCTGGAAACTGTTGTTTGGAAAAAGTCCTTGCAATTAGAATGGTTTTTATTTTGGATTTTTTTTCACGTTTTGTTATACGTGACAAAATGACAAAACTTCCTAAACCAAATTAAAAATTTGCCATGTACTGTGTAATTATCAGAAATACAAGAGAGGATGACAGAAAAAAATGGGACAATTATTTGCTTACATCAACAGCTAGTCTTAGCAGGTGCTAAGCATATGGAAGGACAGGGAGTTTTATGATACATTTCTTGTATGGATAAATACACTTTTTTGGAAGAATTATACTGGTCTTTATACTGCTGGAGTATGCTTTTTTAATTTGGGAAATTATCTAATTTCTCTAAAACTTTGTTGTAACATAAGCCTTATTTTTTTTTTAATACTTTAAAATATTAAATCAACTTCATAAAGTTAATTTTGATCATCTTATGAAAAATGTTTCAGAAGTAGTATTAGCTTGTTTCCAAAAGCATTTTTTTTTAAAAAAGAGGGGTGATACCTCATACTTGGCTAAATTACTATTTGCATGCTAATACATAAAGGTTTACAAACGTATGCATACGTTACTTTTAGTTCAGCAACAGGCAGGGAAAAAACATTTGTTCATACAGTGCTGTACATATCCTCAGTACTTTTTAGAGTATAAAAAAGCAAACTCTTCAGTGGTAAGTAATCTGACATCTGGTCCTGCAACCCCTATGCAAAACAGAGTTGTGCCTGAGCACTGGGATTCCTTGTGTTAGTATGTGATAAGCTCAGAGGCAGCCCTGCTCAGAACCATGTTTGATCAAGGAGAGAACAGGAGATGGGGTAGCGTGGGAAAAAAGACAAGTAATTTAAAGGGAAGATGACAACCTTTGGGGAGCTGGTGGTGTCTTGGTGGCAACATGTTTTGCTCAAAAAAAAAAAAAAAAGAAGAAGAAAAGAGAAGAAAATTTCTTTCCTAACTTTCTTTGTTGTCTTGCAGTATATGAAGACAATGGGTGTACATCCAGCCATTCATTTCTTTGCTTGGTTTCTGGAGAATGTCATAGTGCTCACAATAAGCAGCTGTGCTCTGACCATCATTTTAAAAGCAAGTGGTATCTTTGCTTATAGCAATGGCTTCCTAATCTTCCTTTTTCTCCTGGATTTTGGAGTTACAGTTATTATGTTAAGCTATTTTTTGGGAGCATTTTTTAGCAGTGCCAATACAGCAGCTCTGTGTGCCAGCCTTGTGTATATGATCAGTTTTTTACCCTACATAGTTTTGTTGGTCTTGCAGAACCAGTTGAGTTTCACCAACCAGACTATAATGGTAAATATTTCTTTTCCTTTTCTAATTTTTCTCCTCCAACCCTAACTGTGGATTTCCATAGTTTTGAAACTTTAGACTATAATTTACTTATTTTTTCCCAGGTTTCTGTTTGCTTTTGTGTTTCACTGGAAATAAGTCACATTAATAGATATCCAACTGAGAAAATGTTTTGAATGTAGAAAGGAATCAAAAATAGATTTTCAGGGAAATTTTGTAAACCTACAAAAAATATAAGGAAGTTGCATTCCTCATGCTCATGAGTTCTCTTTATGCTTTGGCCTCAAAATATTTGTCATGTTAGTGTACTTTCAAGCACACCTGATTACATGCCACTCCTGAAAGTCATTATTTGTTTGGAGGAAAACTTGTGTTTGATTCTCTGTTGAGTGCAACTGGGGATTAGATCAGAAATCTGTCTAATGTTTATCTAGCTATACAGTCTGAGGTATATGTTTCTTTGGCATCGGTTCTCCCATGTCCTTTTCTGTTTTATGTATGCTATAGGCTGTTTTATGTCTTTGTACTGTCTTAACATACTATATCCCTGAGTGGGACATCAAATATCACTATCATAAAATGCAAACCATATTTCACACATTATGGCTTCACTCTTTCAAAATAACTCACATACCAAATTAAGCTGGTGGAATAATTCATACATTATTAAAAAAAATAGATACTTTTTCAGTGCTAACCGGTCAGATAAAATATATTGGTTCTTTGCATACAAGTAAGCGCAGATGTAAGACTGCAGAATTCAGGTGTAAATAGGCAGGGTGGAATTTTGGGGTTTTTTTTTTTCCTGTTCTGTTTTTTTCCCCTCCTCTGCCTGGACCCTCACAGGGGGAAAAGTATGCATCAGATAACTTGCACACTTTAAAATCAGTTATTTCAAAATAACTCTTCAGATATCCTGCATTTGCTGAAGATCAGAGGCAACAGCATGTGAAGAGAGGGGAGAGGCCATCAAGTGAGGTGGTGAAACCTTAGCAATGTAAAAGGCAGGGACTCAACTGATGGGAATTAGCATGAACTTTTCTGTACAAAAATGTAATCCATACCACTAATAATTTTGAATTTTTTTCTAAGTAGCAGCCTATGTCATACTTCTTTCTTCAGACAGGTGGCAGGATGTGTTCCTTCTGTGTCAAATATTGCAAAAACCTTATTTAATTGCTTTATTTTAAAATAGGAGATAAAATGAACTTTCAAACTGCAGAACTTTATCACTGAGTAATGCTTATTAATTTTAGTAATGTTTTGGATCTCCCCATCAGCCTTCATGTGCTTGCCAGTGTTTTTCCATTGATCATCAGTCACACTTCCTTGTTATACTACATCATTGACTGCTCATTGTCCATTTTGTACTTTTGTGATACAGCATGACTATGTTGCTTCTTGGAAGTCAAATGTCATTTCCTTTCACAAAAATGCTGTCTCAGCATATAGTACCCAGTGTGCGTGTTCCTTCTGCCTCTGTATATTCTTGAGTTTTGGTCTTACAAAAATGAGTAGTACCACTGCTCTTACTACAGAAAGTATATTCCTGTAATGATTTACAGTGTTATACGTTATATATTTTCATTATGTGGTAGATTTATGATGGTCTATAACTTGTTATAAAGTTAAATAATGCTTTCCAATATTAATAACTAGGTTAGTGGAGCTCTTTAACATGGAACAAATACTACTGTAGTATGTGGGGGAGTATTGTTAAAAGGAGACAACGACAATTAGCCTATGTGAAACAAAGGTCTATTTATTTTGTGCTTGCTTTTAATATCATAAGTTATTTTATTTCATGGAGCTTGTTAATGATGTGTTTTATTTGATGTTCACATCCTGTTTCTCCTCTGGTGTTATAGTGTCTTCTGTCTACAACTGCCTTTGGGCAAGGAGTATTTTTCATTACATTCTTTGAGGGCCAAGAAATAGGTAAGCTCTCTGGTTAGAAGAAAAGCTTTGTAATTATTATTTAAAGAACTACAGCTGGAAACATTTTCCACCTTATTCTGAAAAAAATCTTTAATCATGAGTTAACTTGATAGATCATAACAGGAGAAAAACCTTATTAATGCCCCTTGAAAACCAAGTTAAGCTTGTGCTGCTTTCTAGCAGTACATTAAAGTGGGCTTAGCACTACTCTATTTGCAATACACATTGGAGGAAAATCTCCACATCCTGTTAGATGATAGAATGAGTGTATTCAGCCAATGAAATTGTTCTGGAGATGCAAACCCAAACTTTCTATTCAGTGAAATTCAGTAGAGCTACCTAAGGGTGAGCATCTGCCTGAATATTATTTCACTTATTGAATGTGTTATTTCTCTCAATCTAGTGGAGGAAGCTTTGGCAAGGCATTTAGAGCAGTTTCTTGGAAGTCCTCATTGATGTCAGTGGAAACTCTAATGCTTTGCTTTCTGGTGAGGATATCAACAGGGAATTTTGTAGGATCACAAAATACTTGAGGTTGGAAGGGACCTCTGGAGGTCATCTAGTCCACCCCTGTTGCTCAAGCAGGACCACCTACAGCTGCTTGCCCAGGACCATGTCCAGATGGCTTTGGAAGGTTGGAGACTCCACAGCCTCTCTGGGCAACCTGTGCCAGTGCTCAGTCACCCTCACAGTGAAAAAGTGTTTCCTGATGTTCAGAGGGAACCTCCTGTGTTTCAGTTTGTGCCCATTGCCTTTTGTCCTGTCACTGGGCACCACTGAAAAGAGCCTCGCTTTGTCTTTGCACCTTCCTTTCAGGTATTTATATACATTCATAAGATCCCCCTCGAGCCTTCTCTTCTCTAGGCTGAACAGTCCCAGCTTTCTCAGCCTTTCCTCATAGGAGAGATGCTCCAGTCCCTTAATCACCTCTGTGGCCCTTCACTGGACTCTCTGCAGTACCTCCATGTCTCTCTTGCACTGGGAAGCCCAGAACTGGACACAGTACTCCAGGCATGGCCTCACCAGTGCTGAATAAAGAGGAAGGATCACCTCCCTCAACACACTGGCCATGCTTTGATTAAGACAGCCCAGGATATCATCAACTTTCTTTGTGGCAAGAGCACATTGTTAGCTCATGTTCAACTTGGTGTCCACCAGGACCCCCAGGTCCTTCTCTGCAAAGTTGCTATCTAGCTGGGTGTCCCCCAGTGTATATTGGTGCATGGGGTTGTTCCTTGGCAGGTGCAGGACTTTGCAGTTCTTGTTAAACTTCATGAGGTTCCTGTCAGCCTGTTTTGCCAGCCTGTTCAGGCCTCTCTGGGTGGCAGCATGACCCTCTTGCATATCAGCCACTCTTCCCAGTTTTGTGTCATCAGCAAACTTGCTGAGGATACACTCTGCCCCATTATCCAAATCATTAATGAAGATGCTAAACAGGATCAGACTCACTATTGGCCCCTGGGGTACACTGCTAGTTATTGACTTTCAGCTGGACTTCATGCCACTGATCAACACCCTCTGGGCCTGGCCATTCAGCCAGATTGCAATCCACCTCACTGTCTACTCATCCATCTCATACTTCTTTAGCTTCTTTAGGAGGATCTTATGGGAGACAATGTCAGAAACTTTACTGAAGTCCAGGTAGACAAGATCTACTAGTCTCCCCTCATCTACCAGGCCAGTCTTTTCATTGTAGAAGTTTAATCAAGTTGGTCAAGCATGACTTCCTCTTGGTGAAGCTATGCTCACTACTCCTGATGATATTCTTGTTCTTCGTGTGCCTGGAAATGGTTTCCAGGATTAGCTGCTCCATCACCTTCCCAGGGATCCAGATGAGGCTGACTGGCCTGTAGTTCCCTGGGCCCTCCTTCTTGAAGATAGGAGTAATATTTGCTTTTCTCCAGTCTTTGGGCACTTCTCCCAGCTGCCATGATCGATCAAAGATTATTGAAAGTGGCCTTGCAATGACATCTGCCAGCTCCCTCAGTGCTTTTGGGTGCATCCCAACAGGGTTCATGGACTTATGTATGTGCAGTTTGCATAAGTAATCCCTGACCTGATCCTCTTCCACTAAAGGTACATGATCCCTGCTCCAGACTTTTCCCTTGGTCTCTGGGACCTGGGATTTCTGAAGACCAGACCTGCTAGTAAAGACTGAGGCAAAGGTGGCATTCAGTACCTCAACCTTTTCCACATCCTGTGTAAACAGGTACTCTGTCTCGTTGAGCAGTGGGCCCACGTTTTCCCTAGCCTTCCTTTTGTCACCTATGTACTTACAGAAGCCCTTCTTGTGGTCTTTGACATCCCTGGCCAGATTCAATTCCATTTGGGCTTTAGCTTTCGCAACTTCATCCCTGGATGCTCGAACAATGTTTCTGTATTCCTCACAGGTTATCCGTCCTTGGCCACGCCCTCTGTATGCTTCCTTTCTGTGTCTGAGTTTGGCCAGGAGCTCCTTGTTCATCCACGCAGGCCTCCTGGCATTTCTACCTGACTTTGTATTCATTGGGTTGGACTACTCTTGAGCTTGGTAGATGTGTCTGGGTTTATACATGCACTAGTGTATAGCACAATGGAGGTTTATGAGAACAATATTGTACAGAACAAGAACAGTGTAAGTTATTCACTCTCAACATAATGCTAAGATGAATATTTAACTATTATACACTGGAAAGTAAGAAAAAAAATTACTTTTACTTTGTAAAGTATATTGTACGGTCCTCCTGTATGACACTATTCATACTCAGCCTGAGTAGCATCTTGTCTCCACAAGCCTGGAGGCAGCTGGTGAAATCCCCACTGAGCTACTGTGCAGGTGCAGAAATGCATGAGAACACCCTATTATGTTTAAGCGTTAGGAAGAAAAAAATCTTTGGAAACCGACTAGATGTTTTAACACATTGCTACATGTTCTAACATGGTGAGCCCTATTATCCCCAAGCTAAGAGCTGCCCCTATTGATGTTGAAGTTTTAGAAAAGTGAGAAGTGAATGTCTGGGCCCTTGATAAATGTCTACAAAAAATATACATTTATGTATCTAAATATATTAAGGGATGTAATCCCTTTCTTTTTTTTACTACTAGGGCAAGATCAATATTGATGACAGTGAATGTTTCAAACCACTAGGCATTGAAAAAGTATCATAATGATACAAAAGTTGGTAAGAGTGGAAGAGGCAGTTGCAGAAAATATTACTTAAATTTCCCACCAGACAATTCATCAAAATGACTCATCTTTACTGAAGAAAGGGCAAAACGTACTTTGTGGAAAAACTGCTTTTCTTGACAAAAGTAGAAAAAGAATTGTAGAAACAATATCATGACCTGCTGTACTGCAAACAAAGTAGCAGTTTCAGAAAAAAATGCAATGCTCTTTGTAAATCTACAATTTGGTTACTTTTGTTTTCCATTTAGCAATATGGTAGCTTTCTGTAGTAGCAGCATTTTGCACCTTCTTTCTTCCTTTCATGTCTTCTGCAATGTAATAATTTTATGAAGCTATTATTCAATGAGTTTGTTGTTCCAGCTTACCTCTGAATACAGTCAATGCACAGAAATACTTGCTTCTTGGTTAGAACTCACAGATTTAAGTTTTCAGATTTAGCATTATAGAAATGACTTTAAACTTTGTGTAACCCGTTTCTTTATAACAGCAGAATGGCATAAAGCCTGATTCATTGAAGAGGTCAGTGCCCCATTTTGTCAGAGAGTCGTAGTCCTTTTTCTTTTGCCAAATTAAGGGCCAGCTAAAACTCCATAAACAGCCCTTTCTACAACAGCTCCTCTGCATTTTCACAGCAGCAGTGTCACCTGCTGTTCTAAACAGAGGGTTGAAGAGGCACAGCAATTCATTGCCATTCATTAGGATTACTGTTATTAACTACAGTCTTTTTTGTGTCAGTGCTTAAATACCCAGAAGTGTGTGGTGTTGACGTGTTTGTGATCTTTAATGCTGTACTGATTTAGCTTTGACCTTTTAAAAATCATTATTATTATTACTATTACTACCAGGAATTCAGTGGAATAATGTGCACCAGTCGATGGCACAAGGAGGATACATGACCTTTGGGTGGATGTGCTGGATGATGTTCTTTGATTCCATTTTATATTTGATAGGTGGCTGGTATTTCAGCAATATTATTCCTGGTAAGATCATGGAGTTGTTCTTATTTCATGTTTTTGAAGAAGTTATTGAATGGAATGGATAGAATTGTCTTTCCTCATTGTATGCAACTAAAACAAAAACATATCTTTTTCTGAGTTGAGGTTTTGATGTGCAAGACTGGGTAAGAAAGTCCTCCTACATACATAAATATTGAGTAGTGCTAACACATGGACTAGAATTTGTAGCCAGTCATGAAATATCTTTTGTTTGCTTATAGGGATGACTGATATTTGAAGGGCTTAGGAATTTGTTGGTACTTCATAGTAACAGAGGTCAGTCCAGTAGCAAATGTTCCTGTGAAAATGGTGAATCTTCTGGGTCAGTACTTGGGCTGAAACCCATGAACAACAGCAAGTTTTCAGATCACAAAGACTTCAAACTGCCTCATAACTGTATCTTGCTCCCAGTCAGTCCACAGTCCAATACATAAAGAAAACAAATTAACTTTGAAGTATATTTTCAGAAAGTAGTGGGATTTTTTTTTACATTAACCAAGTTTTATGAATATTATTGAGTTGGTTGATGCATTTTTAATCGTATAATAATTTAATTAATGCCTCACTAGCTGTTTGAAATTTACCTTTCCTCTGATTTGCATATGTCACCTTTTCTTCCAGCTACTCTGTATTTGCTTTAAAAATACAAAAATAAAAATGAATTTTGCCTTGAAAGATAGGGGTGTGTGTGGAATATACAACTGAATTTTACAAACTTCAGCTTAAATTGACACCTGTCCTTCAGTGTCAATGAAATGCAACTCCAAACACACTGAGTATGCATTGTGTGATCCGTAAGTGAAGCCTGGAAAGATTGGGCAATGCCAAAGTTTATGTTGTGTGTAGGAGCATATTTTTACCCTTTCTGTTTGCGTGCTACAATAAATGTTTCTTACGCTGGCTGATTTGTTTAAGTTGTGCAGAGAGTAATGAGAGAATAATTTTTAATGACTGGTGCAATGGATTATTGTTATAATAAAAAAAAAACCTCTTTGCCTTGGCAGGCCATTTGGTGCATTTTCTCTCCTCTAGGTTACAAGATTATGTTAGGCTGTGCCTACGTATTGTTAAGTCTATGATTCTGTTACACTTTAAAGCTGATTTGGAGATAGGGTAAAGCACAGTATCACTGAGCATTGATTATTTTATGGCAGGACCTGGTGATATGGCCAAATGACTTTTTTCCACTTTATTAAGGTTTGTTAAGTGCAGCTAAGAGTTTGAGCTAATTAAATGGTCTATCCAGCTCTTTAAGTAATGATAGGACATTAGTAGTCTACAAACAAATATGAAATTACTATAAATTTTGCAACAGTTTCTATCAAAATTATCATCTAGGAAAATTTGGATTAAAGAACCGATGGTACTTTCCTTTTACTGCTTCCTACTGGAAGAACCTGTGGGGTACAGAGAGGAGGAAGAGACATTACCTGAATTCTAATATGTTTTTCTTCAATGAAAACTTCCAAGAAAAAGGTTTGTAGTCATAATAGAATTTTAATAATGGCTCTTTTCTGAATGGTGTGCTGATTTTGCTCAATCTGCTTTTGTCATTGCTTGGTCCTATATTATGTGTTTAGATATTGTCCATTTCTCTCCTCCATTATATAGTGTATACTATGAACATTATATACTGTTAATTGTGCTGTCACCTGTAATGCTTGAATCATTCAATTAAAACTATTGTACACAAATATTTAAGAAAACTCTTTAAAAAATGTAAAATAAGTATCTCTTGGGTTCATCCTGTCCCTGTGTATTGCCTCTTCGCTTTGTCAGGATCTTCTGAAGTTCCTTGAACCCTTTCATACTGCTACTGAATCTGAAAAGTGTTGTGATCTATTAACTTTTTATTTTCCTGCAGTTTGATTTTCTTCTTCCTCCTCTGCTGTTTTTATTTGTTTCTTGTTTCAGTGGAAACATTAACTTTGTTCATTACTTTCCCTTCTATTTCTTATTTCCCTCTTCTATAATCACTGTTCTTTCTGTCTCTGCTTCTTAGCCTTTTGTTTAAAAAGCTACTGTTATTGTAACTAATTTTTATCTGCCTCCAGATACTTTCACTGCTCTTCTATTTCTTTGTTCACTTGCTTAAAATTAATTTAGATTTTTAGGGGTTTTTCCCCTCTCAGGTCTCTTTAAGGACTTTCTCACATTTCATTTATGTTTTGTGAATGAAGGAGTAAGTCAGTCTCACCTATATTCCCTTTTGGGTCTTAGAACAACATGATGGTTTGTTGTGGTTTTTTTGGAAGTTACGGTAGCTTGGAAATGATCCAGTTGTCTGTAGCATAGGTGAAGAAGCTGAACAGCTCAGCAGTTTTATGTATTAGTACCTCCTAGAGGAGGGCAAACTTAAAAATGTCTTGAGGTTCATTTAAACATCTGTAGAAAAGCTATCAGTATGAATTTTGTCTGAATTTCTGCACTTTGGAACAATTCCATTTTGTTGAGATGATTGTCTCTGGTCCTTACTTAAAATGAAGAATTTCAGTGTTTCCCCTTGGGTTCATCACATCCTCTGTGGAAAGCGAAGAAAAAAACCTCTCCTCTGCCTGAAAAGTTACTAGTGTGGTCTCTGGTTCAAGCCACCCAAGTGATTGCCTACAACTTTGTGGATCTGTTCATCTCACTTCTCCTCTGTTTAAACTGATGCACATCACGTGCTCGATAGCAAATTGCTTGTGTGTGAACTCTAACACTGCCATGCATGCAAAGGAACTTGCTCTCTTTCATAAGAATTGGGCGTCATTGTACTGATAAATGCATTCATGGATAATTTGCTTGGAACAGCAACGTGACTTGCTCCTGGGCTATTTCTGCATTTGTTCCATATAGCCCAGGTAAGGGCTGGTTCAGTGGGGGTGGAAAGCACTTTGGAAATCAGAGGTGTGTCAGGGAAGGGCTGGAGTGGACGTCCTACGAGCTGGAACTACGACTAGAGTAGGGCTGGCAGAGACCTGGGTGCTGAGTACCCACTTGGAACTCCCCTTAGGAGAAGTCCTAGGGTGATCAATTTACTGCTTGCAAGTAATTTGGAGCTCAGCCTCTGAATCTTACCTGAGATACATTGTCTGAGGCTCACTCTGTACCTTAAGTTTAATTTAGGAAGCAATGTAAAGGGCATGAATAATGTTTGTTGGTGGGTTTAGTCTCCAGATCAAAAGATAGAGAAGCTAACTGGTTCATGGGTAGAAGGACCTCAGAAATGTCACAACTACTGGTAGTGCCTTGCTGGAAGGTAACCTCACGCTTCTGGCAAAAGTTCTTTCTAAACTTAAAATTATGAAAGGAGCAAAAAGCTTCTTCATTCACAGCCTAAACAAACCAATCCTTGAAATCATTATATCATTTTTTATTTATAATTTGATTTATATAATTTTATATATTTCTATATAAAGCATAATTCTATCTTCTGGTAATATTTATATTTTATTTAATTATATAAAATGATTACATAAAATAAAAATATAACTATAAATAAAATATAAGAATATATACATTATATATTTTGATATATAAAATATATATTAAAAAGGATAATTTTCTCTTCTTATAATTCTCATCCATAACAGTATTTATTTCTTTGGACTAGCATTCCAATTTGGCTTGCCTCTGTTTAAAAAGAAAAAAAAAAAAAAACCACTGCCAAATTTCTCAGTTGTAATGAGTCAATAAAATATTACATGTTAATAATATATTTATGGGGCTGATGATTAACTGTATTCATGTTTGGAAAGTAGTGCCAACCTTTCCTCCTGACATAGAAAGGAAGTCAACTTTATCTGCGTCATATGATCATCTCAGTTTGCTGAGCCGATTAACTCAGTGAGAAAAATGCTGGTTATCTACTTGCATTGAGGACCTTTGAACTATGTTTAGACTAGACTGCTGCTCTGAATCGTTTTGCAAAGAGATCTGCTTTGCTTTATTGACTGAGGGAATTAAGAGGATTAACTCACTATGCCTGTTAACGCTATGTTAATGTTATGTGCCTGAAACTGGATGGCATATATGGAGTAGTTCACACAGAATTTTCTCATACTTATGGGCATAAAACAATGATTCAAGCAACGTTATTATAAGTGTTTTTTCTACTAGAAATAAAATATAACAACTATTTTATGACTCTATCGAGACGTATGTGGACATGCACGCAACTTGGCATAATTGTTTTAGGTTGCTTTTTAAAACTGGAAATAGACCAAATTCTTAGCACATATTAACTGGCATGGTATCTTTGTTTTCACTGGAGCTTATGTCAAGTTTGGAGCATCTGCACATCTGTTCCAGGCTTTGGTAAATGGCAACAGGGATTAAGTTAATTTGTTATTCCCTATATGCACACACACATATGTTTAGATTCAGCAGCCCTCTTGATCTGCTGCTCTTCCCCATACAGACACAGCACCTCCAAGTTGGAAAGGCCCTTGCATCGAAGGAGCCACCATTGGTGTCGTGCTGCTGTCTCTCACCAAAGAGCACGTGGATGGCCAGAAGGCTGCTGTTAAAGACCTCAGCCTCACTTTCCATAGAGGTCAGATAACAGCGCTCCTGGGACCTAATGGAGCTGGCAAGACAACAGTCATGTAAGTCTGCCATGTAACGCTATTACACTCCCCTCTGATCTCTACTATGCTTTCTCACTTCAAAATGTTTGTGAACTCTTTCTTAAGCCTTTTTTTTCCAAATAAATATTTAATAGCACATGGAGAGTGAAGGCTATATATCTACGACAAAAGCAATGTAATGAATAGAGAACTGGGTCCTCTGTGCCACTGAAACCATGATGTAATAGTTCAGGAGCAGCTTAAGTAGGAGCTGGGCATGTCTAGTTGTGGAGTTGAACACATCTCAGGGAAGTGTTCTTTTCTGGCATCCCATGTGTACTCCTATCACAAGGAGAGTGTGGAGTTTTATGGGGTTTTGTGCTTTGCTCCCAGAGGTTGCAAGGGACTTCTTTCTTGGCAGTTGACCAGAAACGAAAATGACAAAATGAAAATGACATTTAAAAATGCCTCAGTTAAGAAGTCTATGTTTTTCTACCTTTATGTTAACTATGATCAGCTTTAATAAAACCAGTGATGCAGGATGGGACCCAATTAGGATTACTCCTCAGCTAGAATGCACACGTGAAAAAGGAAACAATGGTCTGTTGTATTTGGTTGAGAAAAAATGGATTTTGATCTGGAAGTAAGGAAATGAAGGATTGTTGAGATCTTGGTTTAAAAAAAAAAAAAAGACAAACAACCCCCCCAAAACATTTGCGGTGTTTCTATAACTATCCTCAACTGAATTGCTGTTGCTCTAAGGATGCGCCTCAGGAAATCCAAGTGTGAGCTATGTAATACAGTCACTACACATGATCTTGCTGATTTTTTTTTTCTTTTCTTGTATCAGATCACTGTTGACTGGTCTGTATCCACCGAGCTCTGGTACCATTATTATTAATGGAAAGGACATACGTTCTGATCTGGCTGCCATCAGGACAGAGCTGGGTGTTTGCCCACAGTATGACGTCCTGTTCAACGTACTAACGGTGCGAGAACATCTACTGCTTTATGGATCAGTGAAAGCACCTGGCTGGACAAAGGAACGGTTGAATCAGCAAGTCAGTGGGTCAGTTTTCCTTTCATTTGTTGAAATCTGTCAAGTAAATTAGTAGTGTCTATTGCAAGCCACTGAAACAAGAAAGTGCTAAAGCAAAATTGCAAGTAGAAGCAAATGGAAACTGCAGGTTTTCCATGAATTTTTATCACACTTCATGTTCTGAAATTGTGCCTTGAAAATAGATTTCCTAGTTTCTAACCTTTACTTGAATATATTTGTAGTTAAACTGTCAATGTTTAAAAACCTGATATTACAGAACCATCAAATAATCATGTTTTGACTGGAGTGGAGATGGTTAGCCTGGTAGCAGCTGTAGTGGTTCCTGCCTCATGCTGTCTGCCTTACCTCCCTCCTTGCTGGAGAGGCAGGTAGAAAGTAAACTGTTATGTGTTCGCCCTGAGTTTTCAGATAAGTCAACACTGACTTTATGTATTTATTATCCTGTATTCCCTCACCTGCAGTAGAGAGAAGACTGGAAAACCATAAAAGGCAGGTAAAGGCAGTGCTTGTTACAGTCTTTTTAAATAGGCCATCATCTTCTTCCTTCGTCAAATTCAGACTTTAAATGTGTTTAATAAGTGAAGAGGTTTCAAAACAAACAATCCAATAGGAAAAACAAGTCAGAGCTCTGACAAAACCTCAGAGGATTTGCCACTTGTCAGGTTGAGAATGTTTGCTAGTGTTTTTAGGCTGCTATTTCTTTGATATAGGATAAGATCTTCATTTTTGCATCATGTATATTAAACTACTAGTAAACCATCCAAGGTGAGATCTTGTTCACTAATAGCAAACTGCATTTTCTGAACTTTAGAAATAAAATGTATACTCTCCTACTAGTGTGGCAGTGTAAATAGTTTCTGTTTGCCTTCTGATTCATGCTAGACTGTGTGGAGGGCTGGGCACTTCCACACTTCAATGGAACTAAATGCCAAGTTGATGGACTTCTCTTTAAGTGTACAGTTAGGCATATGCAGACACATTTGTGGCAAAGTGGCTTTCCTTTTTAGTAGCTATCGTAAAAGCCTGTTAATTTAAAATTTTGATGTGAAAAATCTCTCGTGTGGGACACTGCATACTCTAGAAACAAGAGAAACAACTCTCTAGAACAACAAAGACAAACCAAACAGTCTTTGGTTAAAATTTATGCAAAATAATATCCTGTATTTTATTGTACTTAGACTGCTGAATTGTAATTTCAGCAGCAGTCTGTCATACTAATGGCACATAAGAATACTCGGAACTTTGCAAGCCTCGCTACTAAGAAAAAATTAATTTTTTTTAAAGGCAATGAATGCTTTAAAATACTTCAGAGAAATTAGAAAAGCAACAAAACAATGAAACAAAATTTGCTTTTTATTAAGCAAAAAAAGATGGCTTCTAAAGAGATTAAGAATAATTTTTCTGGATATATATCTATACAACAATTATAGAAACCTGTTTTCTTAAAAATGAAAAATTCTCTCAGGGTAAATGGCATGGTTTATAGACTGCACATTCACTCAAATGATTCAGGAGATTAGCTTAGGACTGTTGAGCCTTTTATGTCTTGCTTGCCCTGCTGATAGCAACTGAAAGCTTTTAGGTCAATGACTGGATGTTCAATGTGATGAAAAATAAATTGATGGTCTTTCAGTGCTACCTTTATTGAGCATGTTTCCACACACTGCTCAGATACAAGATCATCAGAGGGCACGGGCTGAATAGGCAATATCTGTAAGGTATTTCCCAGTCCTTAACACAGGAATCAGATTAGGTTGGATTAGGTAGTATTATTCTATCTAGGGATCACCAATCTGTTTACTTCACAGAAACATTTCTTCAAAAAAAAACCAAAGAAAAAAAAAAGCAGCAGTGTTACCTTATTTACTTGTCATGGTTTAACCTCAGTTGGCAACTGAGCACCACGCAGCCGCTCGCTCACTCCCCCCGCAGTGGGATGGGGGAGAGAATTGGAAGGGTAAAAGTGAGAAAACTCGTGGGTTGAGATAAAGACAGTTTAATAGGGAAAACAAAAGCCGCGCACGCAAGCAAAGCAAAACAAGGAATTCATTCACTACTTCCCATGGGCAGGCAGGTGTTCAGCCATCTCCAGGAAAGCAGGGCTCCATCACGCGTAACGGTGACTTGGGAAGACAAACGCCATCACTCCAAACGTCCCCCCCTTCCTTCTTCTTCCCCCAGCTTTATATACTGAGCATGACGTCCCATGGTATGGAATATCCCTGTGGCCAGTTTGGGTCAGCTGTCCTGGCTGTGTCCCCTCCCAGCTTCTTGTGCACCTCCAGCCTTCTCAGTCAGTAGAGCACGAGAAACTGAAAAGTCCTTGGCCAGTGTAAGCACTACCTAGCAACAACTAAAACATCGGTGCCTTATCAATTTTGTTCCCATCCTAAATCCAAAACCCAGCACTGTACCAGCTACTAGGAAGGAAATTAACTCTACCCCTGCCGAAACCAGGACATTACTTCAAAAGACTCTGCACTTCCTAAAAACTCAGACATTTTTTAAGGTTCTTTAGGCAGTTGCAAAAACTGAAGCACTGTTTGAATTATGAAACTAATGATCTTTACCATGGTTTAAGAGGCTATAATCTAGAGTTTGCTGAAATCATTGGACAAACTGGTATTTATTTTATTGGACTTAATTTCAAAATTGTCTGTTCTTATCCTGCACAATACTTATCCAGAATTTATATTTCAGGTGGTGATGAGTGTTTATACTTTGTAGGTAAAGAGATCATTTGTCTTCTATTCATTTTTGTCACCAAATTGTATAATCAGTCAGAGGTAGTGTTTCTTCCACTTTCCATTTACAGTGAATTTTCACTAATTCTGCTCTGAGTGGACGTGATGTGACTGCAAAAACTTTTTCAAAATTGGTCCCATTTCTGTACTCCTATTTCAGAGCTCTGGAAGATGTGGATTTATCCCAACATCAGTACAAACCTGTTGGAGCCCTTTCTGGGGGAATGAAAAGGAGGCTGTCAATTGCCATCTCCTTTATTGGAAACTCAAAGACAGTTGTTCTAGATGAGCCCACCAGTGGAGTAGATCCATGTTCTCGCCGTAGCATCTGGGATGTTCTTCTGAAGTACAAATCCGGTACAAAGCTTATACACATAATTTTCTGCTTATTTTCCTTTCTGGAATTCTGTTTCAATAAATTTAAACAGGGTAGTCAGGATATTAGTATTGCTATTCAGTAACTAAATACATTAATTTCAGAGATAACATTTAATCAAACTTGGGAAACTTTAAAGCAGCCAAGTGAGATTGCAAGAACTACCTGCTGTCTCACAGAAAGGTGTCTAATCTAACAGAATATTGAGTTTAGTTCTGAGTCCTGTCCTGAAGTTTCGCTTCTCTTACCTTTTTCTTTTTTGTTATATTCTCAAAATTATTTTCTGGTTTTCATTTCCCATTTTGCACGTATCTGTATATAGATGCATATATACTTGTAATGAAAATAGACTCATCAGTCAGTCTGCTACATTAATTTTTTAAGTGCCATAAAGTTAAAAACTGATTGTGGGAAGCAAACTCTTCAGCTAGTGAGTACTCAATGAGCTGTAATAACTCACAGTGAAAGATCCATTGAAACAGACACTGTTGTCATGTGGTTTTAAGGAATCTCTTAAGCTCTTAAAATGGCTTGAAGTTGTAATGGCTTAATACTGCTTACTATGTATAATACAAGGCAAAGCAAGTTTAGACCTGAATCTACTCAGACTGTAAATCTGAATGCAGGTTTTGTTTGTGTCTTGCAGTTATGTTTTGAAGGGACCTGAAACATGTTCCCTTAAGGTTAAAGGGAACCTTGTGAAAGCAAGATGTGTTTCTCTAGAAACCAGGTTTTGTAGACATGCACCAATCTTTCTGATGCAGGTTGCACACTGATCTTTACCACTCACCATCTTGATGAGGCAGAGGTGCTCAGCGATCGCATTGCCATCCTGCAACGTGGCCAGCTGAGGTGCTGTGGTTCTCCCTCTTATCTGAGAGAAACATATGGCCAGGGACACAGTCTAACACTCGTAAAAAAGGTATACTAAAAATGTACTGTACAGAACTTAACAGTGCCTGCTAAGTAATATCTGTGTATATTCTGAGGGAGCCATATGTCCCTGCCAGGAAGTAATATGTGATATAAATTATTAAAGAGCCAGCAAAACGTGTTTTTATCAGCTTTATTGGTTATTTTGAGTGGGTGGTGGTATTATTATTATTATTATTACCACTATTATTATTTAGAAGAACACAATGACATCTTTGAAAATTATGAATTTCAATATTTAGCGGAAAAGGGTTTTGTCTCACTGTTCTTTACTCCTGGGAAGTAGTCTCTGCGTCCCAGGTTTGATGCAGTATCATCAGTGGAAATTTTCCTGTATGAATTCTACTATCCAGTCTCATATTTCTTGTAGCATTTAATTTTTTGTTCATGATTATCTTTCTTTCCTCATAGCCATCATTGTTTGAAATCCAGGATCCAAAGCATATTGTTCAGGTCACATCTTTGGTACAGACCCACATCCCAGAAGCCTTCTTGAAAGAGAACAGTGGGACTGAGCTGACCTATGTGATTCCAGAAAGGGCAGATAAGACCTCTTTTAAAGGTCTTTTTCAGGCTTTAGATCAAAGCCTTCATAATTTACATGTGACTGGCTATGGCATTTCTGACACCACCTTGGAAGAGGTACTTTTAATTTTTCTGTTTAATGGCATTTTCTTGTTTAGAGAATCCTGTATTATCTTCCAGCTACTCTTATTGTATCTTTCATATTTCACAACAGTTTCTTGTGAGAAGCATGTTTTCTAAAAAAAAAAATAATCTCAGGCAAAATGTATACTTTATAGTTTTGCTGTACTGTTAATTTCAGCACCCACTCTACTATGACTTATTTCTTATTTCAAGAATCCGATGTGAACACTGAGGAACTGTGTAACTCTTAAATGTTTGCTTCTGCATTTACTTAAGGAAAATTTAATGTGTCATTGATTTAATGATTGATTGATTTAATGTGAACCACTGTTGTGGTCCTGGATCTCTAACATTGGAATAAGCTTTGAACTTGCAAGGCTGGAGGTTCAGTTCAGGTAGCTCTTTGGATGGAAAAAAATTGCTGAGAATACTCTCTGACTTACAAAGTTCTAAAGCTTAGGACTTAACAAAACTGTGTGGGGAAATCTCTAAAGAGTATTTTGTGTGTATACTTAGAGAGAGAGAGAGAGACACTTACATATATACACATGTATATATACACACACACTAATACACACACACACACACACATATGTGTGTGTATATATCCCAAACAGACCAGAGAAAGAGACTCTGTTATGCTTCTTCATCACTTCTGAATTTAGCTCTGTGTAAATAACCATATCAGTGAGAAGTTATTTTCCTTGGACTGTTTTTATCCCTACTATAACTTCTAAATATCAAGATTCCCTAAACCACCACTGTTCAAGTTCTATATTATAGATCCTCTTGAAAATATAATTTTTTCCACTTCAAGTGATGATAGGAAACTAATGTCAGTATTTTTTGATGCATAAAACACATCTATTTTTATTTGATGGCACAATTTATTCAGTATCACATTCTGAAACTGGTATCTCAGTTTCTCCAGTGATTACCAATAGTGTTAAAGACAGACAAGGTTGGACTGTTTTGTAACAGAAAACATAATATATGTTAGGAAAAAAACCCATAAAAATAATGAAATGCAGATTCCTGTGGAGTGATATTTTTTTATATACAGCAATAAATACTTAGTATAGAAAAAGGGTGTATCCCTTCTCCCTCTGTTACCTGGAAATGTATGAGATGATATGATGTAGTACTGTGGTCAGCTGGAACACAAGATCCCCCAGGGAAGATGCTCATCTTTCCTGGGTTTATGAACAGGATACACTTTAAGGCCTGCCAGACATCACTTATGCATTGTATGTTTACTGCGTGATCTAAACATATGGGAATTAATGGGGTCAGATATTTGAAACTGCATCAGCAGTTCTGGGTTTGTTTTGCAAGTTTAGAATTGTTCATCTTACATAACCTGTGGAAAAAATATAAATAGAACCCCAGTAATGCAAGTAAACCTAAAATGACAATGTTCATGAAATTTATTGAACCAATATGCCACCACATGGAGCTGCTGTATCCTGAAGTGGTCCACTGGGAGACATCTTTAGGACTTCATTGATTTGCTACATAGGTTTTTAGGACCCTGCACAAGCATAAAGGATCTGGTTTTGCACATTTGTTTTTAAACTGTAGTCTACCAGAATGATCTACCAGCAAGTATGTGGTTCCCTTTGAAATTAAGCTCTATACAACTAAGTTATTTATAAAGAAAAAAAAAAAAGTACGCATCTCTTCAGTGTTTCTCTTATAAATGACCACAGTACATAAAGCTAGTGTGGCACTCGCTTGCTATGGCGGGGGGTAGGGAGGAAAAAAATAAATCATACAAGTTTAATAAACATTATTACATAATGC